TATTTCAGAAGCTCATTATTAAAGACTTACGCCGTCGCCATACTAACTAGTGTGTGAAGAATTCATTAAAAAGAGGGAAAAGATGGCTTTATTTTGAACTGAAGTTATTTGGGATGGGGGAAGAGGAATAGCTAATCAGGAACACTTGTTGTTGAATGCTTAGATTTTCTGTACTCTGCTTTGAGTTTGGACGCATCCCTGGTTGTTCCACTAAGTTGGATTGTGATACTGAATCAAAGGTGAGTCTGCACAGAGCACTGAGTCCGCATGTGGTGTTGTCCTGAAGAGTGGACTCTGAAGCTTAACATAAATTTACTTGTAGCACTTTTGTGAGTAGATGTATATATATTCATTATTCATTTACATTAGGATCCTAGTGTTGCTTTTGGGTTTGTTTATTAATAATAATATTTTTTGTTAATGCATAAGTACTGCATAAATATATTTGGGACATGAGACTGTTTTCCTCACATACTCATCATGTAGATTCTATTTTATTTAGGTATTTAATCAGCAGCTTTAAATATCTTTTATGTATGTATCAGTTGATGGAAACTACTTAATAGTGTAGTAGAAGACTAAAGGGCCTATCTTGAACCTTCTGACAGAAAATACAGCGGAAGCCAAGGAGAATACACATTGGATTTTTAGATGTCTTGTGACAAAGCACTCTTCACATTCAGGTGCTGTTCAGAGAAATCCACCTGTACCCTGGGTTCCTAGAAGCAAAATGTTATGTTGATACTGGAATTTTTTGTTTTATGCAATATAATGCAATATAATAATATAATTCATTTGCATTGTCTTTTTACAGCCATCTTTGAATCCAGAAGCTGGAAGACACAACAACCAGAACAAACCTTTAGGGACACCTTCTGGAGTATGGGGTAGGTAAAGTTATTTACATTGCTGCACAGAATGCTGATGCTGAAGCAGAAAGCTGTAACCAATGTTTAAATGCCAGTTTTTTCACTCAAAAATAATTTAAACATTTAAGTGAAGCAGACAGTGTGCCACTTTGTTGTTGGTTTTTTCCCACAATATTCAATAATCTCTTGGCCTTTTTGTCTACTTGAAACTGTGTTTATCTTGTTATAAAAAAACCTGCTGGTGGCAGTAATGTCACTGTTCTGCATTTGCTTCCTGTCTTACTGCAGTTACAGCTTCACACAGACATCACTTCAAGGGCAGAGCAGATTTGAGTGAACTAGACATTAGTTCCTGACTTGTGATCCTCAAAAAAATTAACTTTTATGGGGCTTTTAACTGTTTGCTCCTGCAGATGTGTTGATTTGGCCTAAGAAATATTATGCTTCTTTGCAAGAGCATTACGTCTTCTGAGGTGTATAAGTTATGCAAAGTGTATTTTTGCAGTGTTAGTGAATTAACAAAGCTGATCCACGGTTGCTCAAAAAGATGCTGATATGTGTTCTGGTTCCTGTGGTGTGGTGGCAGGCTGCTGGCTGATGTCACTGTAGGTTTTTCCCTTCAGTGTCAAAGGAGCTGTTGTGGTTAAATGACAAAAGATTGGACTTTGAGATCCTTATCCAGTATCTTTGCTCAAAGCGGAAATGAAAGCACAGCTTGTAGCAGTCTCAGAATCAGATGTGGGGCATCTGAGATTGAGAGGGGAGTAGCTGGAGCAGTATACTGAAGCTGTTAGGAGACTGAACGTTTGTAATTCAGAATCTTTCTGTTTATTTTTACAGAAAACCCCCCTAGTGCCAAGCAACCTACCAAGATGCTGGTCATCAAAAAGGTTTCAAAAGAGGATCCTGCCGCCGCCTTCTCAGCTGCATTTACATCACCTGTTTCTCACCTGGCAAATGGCAACAAAGCCACCACCATTGTCCCAAGTGTCTACAAAAATCTGGTTCCTAAACCTGCAGCTCCTCCTTCCAAGGTACAGGGGTTTTCAGACAAGTTAGTGAGCTGCAGATCAAGGGAGAACTCTCTCCTTTGATGAGGGAATCAGCCCACTAACTAATAGCAGGAGTTGGGATTTACTAGTTCCTGGGGTAGAGGCCTTTGCAGTACAGGTCTGTTTACTCCTGACATTGTTGTTCCCTGTTAAAACGCCATTTGGTCTTGGCTGTACAGAGAACTCAACTCTGCTGACCATACTAATGTCTGTTTGAATGGGTGTGTGCTGATGCATTAGACAAATCCTTGTTGTAATTAGACAAAACAAGCAATCCCAGAGAAGACCAATGTGTGCTATGATGTGTTCATGTAACTACCTTCAAAAATCTTCATTAGGTTACAATACTTTCATGTGTTTAAAATACAATTGAGGCTAAGATCTGATTAGATTGTAACATCCTGCAATTTCGCTCTAATTTAGTCAAACCTTAAAGACAACCTGGAAAAGTAGTGGGGTTTGTGCTGTAATTCTTTTACTGAATGAAATACAGAAGAGTTGAAAACAACAAGCAGGGTTTTTTTTGGCTTCTTAGTTCTAGACTCAAGAGAATCTACATGTATAGATGCCCTAGAAAGTTTGTAGGATTGATAGGGAAAGTATTTAAGAAACTGAAGAAAATTATTAGCTAGGTCATTCTTTAAAAAGGTGTCCAAATACTTTGAGTTCTAAAATTTACTTGCTGATGCTGGCTGTGACATTCTAACAAAATCTTCCCTATGATAAGTGTAGATTAGCATTGCATACTTCAAAGATAAAAGCAAAATAGGAAAGATTAACAACTTACTTTGTAAGAAAGCAAGTTTAGAGCTTCTTTTGTAAGCCTCACTTAATTTGGGTCAAATTCTACCAACTACAGGAGAAATCCTAGTAGGTAGAATTATTATCAAATCTAGTATAAACCTTTAATTTGAAAACTGATCTCCCCCTTGGTGAGATGTGGTAAATCAGCCTATTGTAAAGGTTATTAATAAAAGAGCTTTTCATTCCACGTACAGTTTTCAATCCATATACGTTCTTGCTGAGAGTAGTTAAGCTGCTCTTGAAGCTTTTCCTAACTTGACTTCTGAAATTAGACTCTAAGTTTTGACTCTTTACATAAAACAAAAAAAATAATCAGTGCTCACAGTTGGAATAAACATTTTCATTTGTATAGATAATTTGAAAAATGTGATCTGTTTTTTTCTGAGACAGCCTTGTGACTGTGGCACGAAAGTTCAGCTTATGTAAGAATTAATGGTAGGGCTTTTTTTCAGCTTGTTCTACATGTTACGTAGCTGTCATTTGCATTCCAGCTTGTGTATCTACATTTAAATCAGAGATTATGGCAATATGTAGTAGCTTCTGTGGCACAAAAGTTCAGCTTATGTAAAAATTAATGGTAGGGCTTTTTTTTCAGCTTGTTCTACATGTTACATAGCTGTCATTTGCATTCCAGCTTGTGTATCTACATTTAAATCAGAGATTATGGCAATATGTAGTAGCTTGGTAGCTCCCCAAGTTCCTTTTATTGAAGTATTTACTGAACCAGCCTGGATTACACTGGATTCATACCTGAAGTATTGCAGTGTTGATAAGGTATTAAATGCTATTTGGCTAGTGGAGAAGGTATGGACTTCCGATACGCAACCCAAGAGGTTAGTCATGCTCAACAGGAGATAAAGATGTGCTTTTTAAGTGTGTATGGACTGACATGACGCTGACATTGTTGGGGGAGTGGGGTGCTCCTCAACAGTGGGGACTGCAACAGGGAAGAATTGTTTGCTGGTGTCATCAACAGCGCTTTTGTTAATGAGTGGTGACCGTTAGCAAAGCTAACAGGTCGGGATACCAGCATATCCTTAGTCAGAAAAACTGTGTGCGTAAAGCAGCTATGATAGAACGTGTTCTTCTGAAGACTCTAGGAAGTTGTACAGAAATTGCAGTGCATGAAGTGGTAGAGGGGTCAGAGTGTTCCTTTTGACAAAGTCAGCAGTATTGGAAAGTTGTCACAGGCAAATTGAATGAAAAATGTTTCTGTTAAGTTGTACCATTGTTTCTTGGCTAATTATTCACAGTCAAGCAATCCATGAAGGTCACAATCTGCAGGCTACTCCTTTTTGATACTCATTTCTAGTTGTGCTTGAATCCAGCGGCCAAGATCGCAATAGGGGTCTGTCTTTGGGTTTGGCTGAGCTGCCCCTTTGTGGAAGCTGGGAGAACAACAGTCAGCAGCCAAGAGACGGGTGTCTGAGCGGTGCAAACACTGCATCTGCAGGAAGAAACTTTGTGTCATAGTATTTCTGCGCCCTGATTTTGGTATCAGGCAATATTGCGCAGATCGGGATATTTTCTGGGTTCGAAGGGAATATTTGAAATGTGTTGTGAATGCTGAATAATCCATTCAGTAATGTGGACTGCTCCTGTTTTTAAGTTGGAGTGGAAGAGTAATGCTGATGGCCTCCCCTAATAATTCATTTATTTACAAATGAATACAATAGCCCAATGGAGAGTTGGAACGTACTGAAACGGCTTCCGCTTTCATTGCTTGCCAAATGCCAGATCTGTTGCATCACAGATTTAACTGAATCCCACTTGTGCATGAGTTACTTTCCTGGTGACTCGAAGCTGGCTTCAGAAGTCTAATGCGGGTCAAAGGAGGAACCAGTGCTTTTCACTGCTCTGAGAGGTGCCTTTCTTGTGCTCCTTGTATCAAGTTTCATGTTGGGATCCTTTGTGTAAAGTCTGTCTCTTCGCAGTGTTTGTCCTTGGTTGATAAGAGAGGCGCAAGAATAACATTCCAAGGAACAGAAACTTATCTTGAAGTCTTTCTTTTTGGCAAAATTGCCAGTGTATTTGAAGGGACGCTGCAGAGAGTACCCAGAGCGAAACAGCGAGTTCTCAGACACTTTAATGAACTGGCTGCTTTTTCTTTTTTAAATTTGTTGTTGTTGTTGCTAAATCACCACAATGATAGACACTTTCAGGGTCCTAGGAAGTAAATAACTTGCATTCTCAGCCTGGACAGAAATATTCCTTGACGTGCTCCTTTCTTGCACGGGGTAAGTTCCCGTCAAGTGATGCAAAGCCTTTTTGTGGCATACAGTGTTCCCATAGGAAATGTGAAGTTAATTGGGGATTTTTTGACTTCCCATCTGTGAGTAGCTGTAAGATGCACTGCATTACTCAGTGGTAGTTCCTGTTAATGAAGAGCAGTGCTGGATTTTCTCTTTGAGCTCTAACAGTGTTGTACTGGAGAGTCGTGCCCACGAAGCAGAATTGTCTGTGGTTTGAGGAAAACAGAAGAAGATGGGGAAAAAGCAGGTGTTAAGGTAAACTTGTTGAGACTGTTCTTGGAGAGGAAGGGAAAACAATCCATACAACAGCCAACGTGCTTATTTGTTTAACTGCTTGCAAGCAACCCCTTCTTGTGCCATACCATTTATTGTCCGCTATTTTGTGTTCTCTTCAATATAGCCAAGTCCATGGAAAGCCAACAGAAGTGAACACAAACCAGGCTCGCTTTCCTCCAGCCGTGACTCTGCCTTTACCAGTCCAGTGTCTGTAACCAAACCAGCGGTACTGGCGAGTAGCTCAGTCCTCACCTCTCCCAAAGAGGTAAGGGGTTGGGTTTGGGGATAAGGTGGGAACTTCTATCACTGTCACTTACTATAGCTTAAACATGATAAGGTCCTCTTTGTACCTGGCATGCCTACCTTTGCACCCTTGAAGAATGACTCACACATTCGTAGCACATTTTGCCACATCTCTGATAGACTAGAGGAAATTTAAAAGGTGGTTTTCCTGGATGTAAAGCCATTGGTGTTTGTCCAAGTGTATTAAAATTTCCCTCCAATATTAAAAAAAAAAAGGACTAACAGTTTAAGTAGTGTTACATAACTAATTCTTTTTCTTTCTGAAACGAGGATAATGCCCCTCCTGCAGAAGTGTTGAAATAGCACCTTTATTCATAAGAGACCACACAGCGTGTTGACAACGAAAAGGATGCCAGCTAGCACTGGCACTGTGTACGCACAAGCCAGTCTAAGATAACCAGATTGAGATACAGTCTAAATTCTTCAAACAATACAGGATGACTTTCGTGTTACAGAGCCACTCCTGTTAGACTGGTATCTGAACCAATCTAAGATTATGCATACTGATCTACCACCGCAGGCCTGAAGGATAGTTCCTGAAAGGGCTGTTCCTACCTTTAGAAAACATGTCAAAAAATGGTACCTCTTTACATCACATTCTCTTGTAGCATTATAAAGCCTTCTACAGAAAGTTAAGAATAAAATCAGAACTGAGGTAAAATTTAATTCCCTTTCACAAGTCTGCTTCTAAACCTTAGCTGTAACTGTCTTCACCTAATGTGTAGAAATTAAGTTGCAGTACCTCAGCAGTTCTATACAGTGCCACTAAAATGTCTACTTGAGCAGAGAGCTCGAGTGCTTTAGTAGAGTATTCCACATCACCAGAAGACATCTAATTTTCAGTCTCCTTTGTTCATTCTTACCTTCTGTCTCTGCAGTCAAACTTATTACCATGTTGAGAGCTTTAATTTCAGTCCTGTGCTAGCTTTTTGTCCTAATAGTCACTTGTTGTGTCTGTTACAATAGCTGGTTCGTTCCTTACTGTGTTGAATTAGGCAAAATCTGAAAAGGCCACCTGAAAAATCTGTATTGTAAGTCATTACTTCGAGCCTGCACTTCCCTGAAAGACGCCATTGCACACCAGTGTTTCATGTGCAGCAGGCATGAGAAATAGCAGCAGCAGCTGCTGCTGCCTTGTTTTGGTTTTGCTAAATATTTCAGTTCCCTTAGTCTTTGCTCGGAGCCCTGTGAACATGATAAGAATACTTTGCAAAGGAGATTTGTTTTGGAGACCCTGAATTTGCAACCTTCCCACCCTAGTTTAAAAAAAGAAAAAAAAGGTAGCGAGAGGGACAAAAACACTACAGACTTTAGTAAATTTGACTGTTTTAATACTAAGAAAAAAGTCAAAGCAAGTAAGTGAAGGAAAAGAATAGTTCTGCATGCAAGATCCTAGTGTCAGGTATTAATGACCAAATTCCTCGTTGTCTTAGAGTAGCCAGACACGAACTCCATGTATGAGCAGAAGGTCAAGATAGTGGGAACTTTCACGTAACATTGTGTTCTTAGATTTCTTTTGCGTGTCCAGTCAATGATGGAACGGATTAAACTGAAAGCTTATCTTGGTTAGCAGTGTTTTTATTGCGGTGTCATGGCTGAGCTACTGCTCATGTGCAAACTGTTGTGCCTTGTGCCTGGTTCACAGATTCAAGATAATTAAGAAAGTTTAAACACTGGCAGAGCATGGGAGGTTATGTTGGGCTCGTGAATTGAGCTGAGCAGGTCTTCCCCAGGCTCCGGGGTTGTCTGTGTCTGGCTCTGCACTGACCCGTCTGGGCTGTGAGCACACATGGCAAGGAACCAGCAGTGTGCTCCTCCAGGGAGGATATCCAGGCTGTGGCTGCCTATTTCATATCCAGTTGTGGTTAATTAAGGATGTGACCACTCCCTGAAAGGAGATTACCACCCCATAGCTTAATTTCAGGGTAGAGTCTGTCAGGGTGGCTTAAGACACAAATTTGAATTGAGCCTAATCTCCTTAATTTTGTAATTTTTGCAGGGTAAAAATCTTGCATTAAATTCCCTGCCTTAATATCCTGTTGCAGGCTCCAGCATTGCCTGAGAGAGTTACATTGCCAAGGAACAAAATGAATGTAATTGTGGCCATATGAATTGACTCCTTGGGGTAGAAAAAATCTGAGTCGATAAGGACAGGTGGGAGCGCAGTGTGCTGGCAGAGGAAAAAGTGAACGTGCCAGCAGCCAGTATTGTGATGGGAATCTGACATTACAGTTGTTTTGAAGGGCTAAGAGCCAGCCAAAGAACTGAGGGATGTTTGACTCTGCAGAGGGTCTCATCTTTGCAGCAACACGGTTTGAAAATCTCTGTATTCTGCCTTCCTTGTCTAGAGTCCTTCCAGCACCACCCCTCCCATCGAGATCTGCTCTTCACGCTTGACGAAGCTGATGCGCCGCACCACTGATAAAAAGAGCGAATTCCTGAAGGCACTGAAAGACGATAGAAACGGGGAGATAACAGAGAACAGAGAATGTGACAAGCTGGAGGACGTAAGATTGTTGTCCTTACTGTATATGTGATCATTGTGTATTTAAGGGGTTGGGTACTGAAACAAAGGCAGAGCAGTGTCTGTAGTTCAGGCTCTAGCGGAGGACAGGAGTGATTTCTGTGGCTCTGGCACACGTGGCAGCAGAGGCAGTGCACAGCACCGTGATGAGGCGAGATCCCCAACATGAAAAATGCAAATGAGTAAGAAATGAAGTTAAATGGAAGGTTGCAGATGGTGAACGTAGTTGAGGTATTTGCAAGGATGCTCTAGGGCATCCTGTGTAACCTCATCTGGGTGTTCCTGCTCCGGCAGGGGGATTGGACTGGATGAGCTTTGGAGGTCCCTTCCAATCCCTAACGGTCTGGGATTCTGTGAAGGTGTGGAACAGTACCGTATTTTAACATCTTAATTTGCTTTCAAGCTTCCTTGTCAGTCTACATCCCCAGGAAAGTAGAATTCAGTGCTTGAGAAAGGTGCAGGGTAGTGGCTAAGCCTCAGAGGCTTGGACCAGACCTCTAAATGTGTATGTCTGGCTTAATGTGTATGTAAAGAGCATCCTCAGGAGTATTTAATTCTTAGTTTTCTTACTCAATCTGAAGCCGCTGATGATGGATTTGTAATGCCAGCACTTACTCTCCCCACACAAAAGTGCTGTCCACCAAATGTTGATACTGTGTTGCCTTGGCTCAGCTGGGTCGAAGTTGTTTTCACCCACTATCAGTCCAGGCTCTGTAAAAAACACTGACTCAAGGTGAAAGGCTTGGCTCTACTTCAAAAAGCAGGAGCTTGAACTTGGAACTGTGCTGTCGGCGCAGTCTGCAAGCACGCTTTGATGCTTTTATCTTTCTTTAGATGGAGAGCAACAGCACACCAGAACCAAAGGAAAACTGGGAAGAGAACTGCCATCAGAACGGCCTTTCTCTCCCTTTGCCGGAGGAGGGGGAAAACCTCTCTCATTCATTGGAAGCAGAACACAGGTGAGTAAATGGCAAAATAAGGTGCCTGGAGTAAAGGAGGGGGAGTCCTTGGGCTGTGTGAGGAGAAGGAAACTGTTCCAAAGGCGACTCTCCAGGAAGCAGCGGTTGCTCTGTGTGCACTGAGCTGGAGGTGTGTGTGACCAGTGCTGGTCTGGGTGGAGTCTTATTGACAATAAAACAAGGCACTGATGGCAGCTGAGCCAAGACTTTGCCAAGGACTGTAATTAAATTCCTGCACGTCTCCAGTGCCGCATCCCTGTGCGTCCGTGCTGCCTAGATACTGACCTGCCCACACCGGCAGTGAGCACAGACCTAGTGAGATCCCGGTTAATTCACAAGCAGTGTCCTAAGTGCAATGGTCTGAAGACCCTCATATACACACACACCCCCCACTTTCTGTCTGCACTTAAAATACTCCTGTGCTGCTTTAAATGCTGTAAAAGTGGAAGAGAGTTAAGAAAATATTTACCTAGTATCTCGACTTGTATCTCACTGGAATGAGTAAGCAGCGTGCGAGCACCAAGCTTCAGGAGGATCTGGAGCTGCAGTACTGGTTTGATTGCCTCGTGTTCTCCTTGGGTAGAATCTCAAATCTCTGCCTTGCTGTCCTGCCAGACTAGTTGTTCATGCATTGTACAGGACTGCTGGTGATTAAATACTTGTAAAAGCATTGAGTAGGTAAAATGTTGGGTAAATATAAAGCATTGCGGAAGAGGTCTCTAATATGGAAGATTCCCTGGTGAATTGGGAGCGATTTATTACAAAACCTTGTGCTTCGTGGACAAAATGTTCTCTCCTTTGCCATTGCTCCTTTGCTTTAATTCCTGTGCCCCTTTTATTTCCTCCACAAATCAGGTTATTGAAAGAAATGGGATGGCAGGAATATCCTGAAAACGATGAGAACTACCTTCCCCTTACGGAGGATGAGCTCAAAGAGTTCCAAATTAAATCAGAGCAGGTATGTTTGACAGCTCCTGCCACTTGTGACTGCTCTTCTCACTTGCTTCTCATGCAGAAGTCTGCTGTGGTGTAATTCTTAAGGATGTTTGAGCAAACAATTGAAGTGAGATTGTGGGGCAATTGGTCACTGCGTTAGCTGTGCAGAGCACGTGTATACAGTGAAATGTGTGACTTGTGCCCACAGATGACTGGTGACAGTTACTCTCTGCACTTCTGCTTGTTTTAAAACTTGCTTTCACTCCTACAGCGAAGAAGAAACGGATTTGGGAAGAACGGATTTCTTCAGGGCCGCGGCTCCAGCCTGTTGTTCCACTGGAGAAGCACTTTCAAGACAAAGATTGAGGACTCAGACACAGAAACCAGTAGCAGCGAAACATCAGATGACGATGCCTGAAAGTAGGCACGAGAAAATTAAAATAAATAAAACCAACCCAATAAACTCAGTTCATAGTTCAACACGTGTTTGGGGTTGTATAAACTACACAGAGTTTATTCTGTCTCCAGTCTGTTTCAGTTTTTTCTTTTGTTGTTGATACTTCATGCACAAGGGAAATAATTGTATCCCAAAGAAGAGAGAAATTGGCTTCTTTAGCTTTTTCTTTTGGTTTTGCCCTAATGCTTAATAGAAGTTTGTGCAGCTAGCAAATTTTGACAAAAATCCCTTGTGGGGCAGTGCACAAGTTCAGTCCTGTAAGCAGGATACAAGTGGCTGACTGATCTTTGCAACAACAAGCTTCTAACAGTGCCGCCCGCAGTACACGGTGTCGTGCGGTAGCAGTGTGCTAAAACAATCATTGTCAATGACAAAATGGCTATTGAAGTTCTAATTATGTTAAATTAATGCTAATAACATGAATTTTTTATTTTATTTTATTTTTTTTTTGGCGGCTCGGGGAGCTTCATCACTTAACCAGGCGTTTGTGGTTTTCTTTTTTTGGGTACAGCTGTAAAATATTTGGATATAGGAATTGTTTGTGTTCTTCTTCTTGCAGCCTTGATATTCAGGGTGGATTGTAAAATATAAATTTTTTGTGAGATTTCAAAGATTAAGATTATTTTGATAACATTATTTACAGATTTAAAAAAGTGACTATCACATTGAGTCTGTATGAGGGGGAAAAACTACTGCATCAAAAATAACTAACTTGGAATAAATATTTTGCATCAGTTTGCCAATTCTAATTGTCTTTCTTATGTAAGAAAAAGCTTTCCTCTAAAGGGACCTGCAACTCTGGGGATTTAGCAGCACTGGGGATAAATAGTTTCTTCTCCCACTGTGTTTTTCCACTTGGCAAACATTGCTGTAGCGCTCAGACTGCAGGAGCTTAAACTCTTCCTGTAAGAAGGGAGAGGAAGAACAATGGTGAGATGATAGCCCATGTTTGTTGGTTGGTGTTGTTTTTTTTTTTAAGAAATGAAAGGAAATAATTCGAATTATCTTCCACTGAAGCAGTTTGCTTTTTTTCTTTTCCGCTTCATACAAAACCATGAAGCTCGACTGGTCGGTGTCACTTGTTCCTAGTGCAATGCTGCTGTTTATGTTCACAACGTGGCAAGGGAATGTCTGAATCCAAAGCTGTTTTCATTGAACTCTTTTTTAAAAATTCATGAAAACATTTCTATTAGATTAAAAAGGATTTTACAAACAACTCGGTTGTGGCCTAAGCTATTTCAGTGTCTGTTGTAAGTTCAGCCTGTACACAAACGTTCTGGACCGGAGTGTTCGTGTGGTCGTGCACTGTTTGCAGGTGGGTTGGGCGGAGGTGTACGTAGAGCATGAGATCCTGGGGGACTGCAGCCGAGGTCTTGCTGGGGTGGTTTTAATCCCCTCCTCCCCAGGCAGAGAGGGTGATTGATGTGTAACGGGATCTTAACAGTTAGCCCTGAATTTTTGCATCTGGTCTCAAGGTAACGCTCGGTGATGTGAGGTGTAACTCTGCTCTCTGTGACTCCAGTTCCTTTGGCTTTTGTCTGGGAAAAGTTTACCTTCCTACATCCATGTAAGTGAAAAATCACACAAATGTATTTGCATTGTTGTCAAGAAATGGGGTAAGTTTAAGGAAGTTCACACCAAATCCATGCTGAGACGAGCGGATTGCTGCACAGCTCCTCTGTGGAGTGGGGAATCTGCCTGATGGGGACAGCAGAGCGTGGCGTGGGGGTACAGGGGGCTCTGTGTGTCTGCGCCGAACTCTTCCTCCAGCTTCCTTCACCCTGACCCTCTGAGGGGTTGTGCGTGGTTTAAACATCTGAAACGTTTACAGAGTTTGAGTGCCTGCGGGAGAGCCAAACTGAGCACATCCCCAGAGCTCACCAGTGGCTTTGTCCTGAGCAAATCGCCGATTTTGTGACTGGTCTCACTAGCGGCAAACTGGGAGGGTGTCCTGTGGCACCCGAGAAGAGCCTGTGGGTGCTCAGCAAGCAGAGATGGGTGCAAGGGGGAAGGAGGGCAGGGTCCTGGGCACCTGTGGCAATGGAAAGGGGGCAGTGGTGGTAAAGTGTGTTTAGAGAGGAGGAGTTTATTTTGGAGTTGCACAGGACTGGGTGCTGGCTGGATTTCCACAAATCAAGCACAGCACCTGTAAAAACTACACTGTGTTTATCCTGATACATGATTAGCAAAACTCCACCTAAAACTACATTAATTGATCCAAAATTACTTAATCTGCTCTCTACTGGTCTGTTAATGTCATGCTTTTCATGCCAATGAGTCCACATGCGCAGTGTTCTCTTTCTTTTGGGTCGGTGGTCATGAGTCAGTGTTTGCAATCTCCCCCCGCCGCATTTACCTTGACCCCGGTTTTCACAGTTTGTGCTGACTTCATCCTCGTTAGGCAACAGTCCAAGATTTGGCACCTCTGGGCCGGATGATTGGCCTCTTATCAGTCTTGTAACTTCTTCTCAAGGACACGGTCATTAGGGAGCGCAAAGAAATTGATGTAGGAGTCCTCCAGTTAATCCTCCCTGATGCTTCCCAGGACCAAGTGTCCTGCTGGACAAAATTTATGTTCTCCTAATCTTATGATACTGCTTTCTGTGAAAACATCCCCAACATCTGCTTCCTGCTTTGAAGACCTAGTTATTCTCATATACAAGCTTCTTTGCTTTATACTCCAAAGTTCAGCTCCCTGTGCAACAGCGGGCACAAGGAGCTGTCTCACCTCGGCGTGGAGGTTGCTCATCATCAGCTTAAACACTGCGGTGCGCAGTTGTGAGCTGCTGCAAGGAGGAAAAGGGGCACCCCTGGGGCAGGGCGAGAGCTTTGTAACCGCGAAAGGTTACAAAGCCTCTGGCTCAGCATCGCTGCTGGCAGGGCCTCCCCCGTCTCGTTTTTCGTGGATTGCTCAGGTGGCCCAGTGCCGTCTTCCCCTTCTCCCGTGCCTGCGGTGAGCAGCGGGGTCAGGGTGCGGCTGCCCTCG